TGTCCACAAATCCTTGGATATGTCTCCCTTCAAAAGGTGGAGCCTAATTCCCTCCCCAGAGAATTTTGGCCTCACTTAGTGACTCGATTCTAATGAACAGAATGTGGCAGAAGTAATGACATGATAGGTGATTTCCAAGGCCAGGTCATAAGATTCACTGTAGCTCATTCTGTGTTCCCTCTCGCAGTGCAGTCACTCAGGAAGAAGCCAGCTGCCATGTCACAAGGACACTCAAGCGGCTCTGGAGAGGTCCACATGATGAAGAACTGAGGCCTCCTATCCCCTGCCAGTGAATGAGCTTGGAAGCAAATCCTCTGACCCCAGTCAAGCCTTCAGATAAGTACGTACCTGGCAAACATCCTCACTGCAACCTCATGAGAGAGTGGCTTTCACATTCCTGACCCTCAAAGACTGAGAGATAGCAAATATGTATTCTTTTAAGCCACAAGGTCTGGAGTAATTTGTTACACAAGTTATTCAACTTCCTTGAGCCTCAGTTCACCATTTGTAAAATGGTTATAATAACGGAGGCTACTCTATAGGGTTGTTGTCAGGAATATATGAAGCCGTGGTATACATAAATTAGTTAAAAGAGTGAGACACTGGACGTTAGTTGCTGTCACAGTTATTGCTCAGTTGCTTCTAAAAGTACTCTGCCAACCTACAATGGTCCCACCTTCTTGAGTTCCTCATCTGGGAGTACATATCCCCAGAGAATGTCAGTTTAAGAAGGAAGTTTTTGCCAAGACAATTCAATGGGGAAAGAACAGCCTTTTCAACAAATGGTACCAGGTGGACTGGTTATCCACATGCAAAAGAATGAAGTTGAACCCCTATCTCACTCCATATACAAAAATTAACTTAAAATGGAGCAAAGACCTAAAAGTAAGAGCTAAAATTATAAACCTCTAGAAAGAAACACAGGCATAAATTTTTGTGATCTTGGATTAAATAATGGTTTCTTAGCTATGGCACCAAAAGCACAAGCAACCAAAGGAAAAAAACTGATAAATAAGATACTATTGAAATTAAAAACTTTTGTGCTTCAAAGGTTACCATCAAAAAAGTGAGAGGATATCCCAAAAGAATGAGAGAAATTATTTGCAAGTCATATATCTGATGAGGTTCCAGTTTTTGGAATATTTATAAAGAACACTTAAAACTCAATAAAAGACAAATAACCCAATTTTAATATGGGCAAATTATTTGAATAGACATTTCTCCAAAGAAGATATATTCTGGAACACTAATAGGTACATGAAAAGACGCTCGATACCATTAGTTATCGGGGCAGTGCAAATCAAAACCACAATGAGATACCTCTTCACACCCACTAGGATGGCTATAATCACGTACACAGATAATAACAAGTATTGGCAAAGATGTGGAGAAATTGGAACCTGTATACACTGTTGGTGGGAACGTGAAATGGTGCAGCCACTCTGAAAAACAGCCTTGGAGTTCTCCAAATGGTTAAGTCTACAGTTAAAATTCCATTCCTAGGTGTACACCCAAGAGAACTGAAAACATACACTTGCACAACACTAGTACACAAATGTTTATAGCAGTACAATTTGTATTAGCCATTAAAAGGAACAAAGTACTGATAGGTGCTACCCATAGTTGAACTTCGAAAACGTGCTAAATGGAAGAAACCAGTCGCAAAATAGGGAAACCTATATAAACAAAGATTAGTGGTTGCCTAGGGCTGAGGAGGTTGGAGGTAAATGTGAGTGACTGCTAATGCATATTGGGTATCTTTTCAGGGTGAAAAAGATGTTCTGAAAGTAGATAGTGGTGATGATAGTTGAATGGCTTTGTGAATATACTAAAAACCACTGAATTGTATATTTTAAACAGCTGAAGTTTATGGTAAATTATATCTCAATAAAGCTGTTACACAAGAGCAAGTTTTTAGAAAGAGTCTGAAAAAATTAGTTGAGTGGGGTTTTTTTTAGGATATTCTAGAGGTGATGAAATCCATCCATACGTGTACATACACACACAACCATGTGTACATGCGTGTGTGTGTGCGTGCATGTGCCCGTGAGTGCGCGCGCATGCGCGCGCACACACACACATTTAATTTCAAATCAGAAACCAGAAGAGGTGACTATGATACCTTCTATTTGGGGAAAGAAGACACCAGAGCTCCTCAGAAGAAAATTCTAGACCTCCATTAATTTCAGTATGACCTTCCTAGGACACAATCGTTTGTTAAAACACTTCATACGCTTAACTCACAGGAGTACTCAGTGAGGTAACAGTGTTATCTCCGTAATATGGATGCGGCTCAGAGAGTGTAAGTACCTTGCCTGGGGTCACAGAGCTGTTAATCGGAGAGCTTCTTTCTGTACTCCAGGCTGCCTGTCAAAATGAATTAGAAAACAGATGATACTTCCCTGTCTCTGCAATTTCAAAATTATGCCCTGGTGTCAACCTTATTTACTTCATTTCATTCCATATTCCAACCCAATCTCGGGCCAGAAAGAGCTCCCTGTTCTTCCCAGAACACCCCAATATCTATAATCAAAGAGAGATCGGGCGCCTGGGTGGCTCAGTTGGTTAAGTGAGTGCCTTCGGCTCAGGTCATGATCCTGGAGTCCCGGGATCGAGTCCCGCATCGGGCTCTCTGCTCGGCGGGGAGCCTGCTTCTTCCTCTGACCCTCTTCCCTCTCATGCTGTCTCTCATTCTCTCTCTCTCAAATAAATAAATAAAAATCTTAAAAAAAAAAAAAGAGAGAGATCAAGGCGGAGTGCGTGTTGTAATCACACAGTCTGTAAGCTTTACACAGATGTAAACTAGTATCTTACCTTTTCCTTCCTCTAGAAAGTGCCTCCTTCTCTCTCTCTCCTTTTTAAAAGATTTATTTATTTATGTAATCTCTACACCCAAGGTGGGGCTGGAACTTACAACTCTGAGATCAAGAGTCCCAAGCTCCACCACCTACTGAGCCAGCCAGGAGCCTTGTCCTTGTTTTGACATATGCAAAACCACAGAACCATGGAATCTTTCAAGGTTGAGCTCAGTCCCCTCCAACTCTGCCCCTGCTGCAGGGCAGGCAGGGGGTTCTTCTTCCTGAATTTTTGGACACTCACCACAAAATCAGTTCCATGTCGTGCTTTGGCCCAATGTGACCACCAATCACAATATTTGCTTCACTGTGTAAGTTCTTTTGTTTGTGTCTTTACTAATTGTTTGGCGCTCTCAGTGGTGAGGTAGTCGCTGTTTTCCTTGGGCGAAACACTCAATATCTCTTAGCTTCAATTTCCTCATTTGCAAAATGGGAATGACGCTAGCTGTGTTGGTGGTACCCATGAGTCTCTTGCCAATTCCATTCTGGGTATGTTGTGGGCAGAGCCAGTGCTGCCTAGAGCAGCGGTTCTCAAAATGTGGTCTGGAAGTCCCTGCGGGGGGGGGGGGGGGGTCCCTGAGGCCCTTTCCAAGATTCTGTGAGGTTTCCTCTTTTCATCTACTTACCTGTGTGAATCTAGGTTTCCTTCACATACTTGAACCAAAATAACACATCACAACAGATCGAGTGCAGAAACAGACGTGAGGCTGCAACTGTCTTCTACGAAGCAGACATTAAAATGTTTGCCAAAGGGGCACCTGGGTGGCTCAGTCGTTAAGCGTCTGCCTTCGGCTCAGGTCATGATCCCAGGGTCCTGGGATCCAGCCCCACGTTGGGCTCCCTGCTCTGCGGGAAGCCTGCTTCTCCCTCTCCCACTCCCCCTGCTTGTGTTCCCTCTCTTGCTATGTCTCTCTCTGTCAAATAAATAAAATCTTAAAAAAAAAAAAATGTTTGCCAAAATGTAAAACAATGCCACTATTCTCAGTAATTTCTTTTTGTTTTGGAAAATAGAATTTTTAACATAAAAATATGTTGACATGTAATGACATTAACTTTATAAGTTAATGAACATTTTTTTTAAATCTGTTTTAATTTCTAATACAGTGATTATCAACTAGATAAAACCACACAAAGAGAAGCTCTTTGGGATCCTCAGTAATTCTTGGGAATGTAAACTTTGAGACTGAAAAGTTTGAGAACCCCTAGAGGAAAGAAGAGCGTTCCAAATCAAGATTTTTCAGGTACCTCGTGTTCTTAACCTTACCCTGTGTTCCAGTTCCCTTCTAACACAGTACTCATCCTGGCGACACGGGTAGCTATTAATCTCTTTGTTTTCTTAATGTTTATATGTTGCATTATGTGTGTATATAGGGACTGTCTCTGGAGGGATACACGAGTATACAGCTGGCACCCGTGGTCTCCCCGGGAAAGGGGAACTGGGAAACTGGGAGACAGTGGTTTACAACCTTTCAGCTCTGATTTTTTTTTCTAACACATGGCGCATGCATCGCCTATACTTAATATGGAGCAATTAAAAGTAAAATTACACTTTTGTTTAGATGGCTAGAGAACGGAAGTTGGCTCAAGTAAAGTGGTGTGGACCTGCAATCGGAAAAAAAGCCCACTTAAGTTTTCCGCACCTACCTTCGCGCGGCCCACAAACACTTCGCGTATATTCCGTCGGACTCACGGCCGGCCCGCCGGACTTCAGTCCCTCCCCGCCCGCGGCCCCGCCCCCTCGCCTTCGCCCCGCCCCCGCCCCTCGCCCCGCCCCCTTTACGTCACCTCCGCCGACCCGTTTCCCCGAACTCCCTCTGGCTCCCGCCTTCGCCCGCTTCCGGTCGTCGTCGTCGCCGCTGCTGCCGCTGGTGCTGCTGCTGCTACTGGGGCTGCTGGCGGAGGCCGGAGGATCGGGCGGCGGCGGCGGCGGCGGCTGAGAGGGCGGCGGCGGGAGCGGAGCGGGACGAGGGAGCGAGAGGAAGCGAGCGAGGAGCGAGCGGAGCGCGCCCAGCCCCGCCCGCCCTTCCGCCCGCGGGAGCAGCCGGAGCAGCCCGGGCCCCCAGCCGCCGCCGCCACCGCCGCCGCCGCCGCCGCCCCCCGCCTACCCGCCCGCCGGACAAAGCCCGAGAGCCCGCGCGCAGAGCCATGTCCTCGTCCGCCGGCAGCGGCCACCAGCCCAGCCAGAGCCGCGCCATCCCCACCCGCACCGTGCCCATCAGCGACGCCGCGCAGCTACCTCATGACTATTGCACCACGCCCGGGGGGACGCTCTTCTCCACCACGCCGGGAGGTGAGCGCCGGCCGCCCCGCCGCGGCCCGGAGCCTGCAGCCCGTTTCCTCCGCCGCGTCCTCGCCGGCCTCCCGCCGCGGGCCTTTAACTCAGGGCGTGTCCAAGCGTGGCCGCCTCCGCAAGCGCAGCTCCGCCAAAGCCCCCCAACCCCGCCCCCCAGCTCCTCCAAAGCCCCCGTGAGACTGCTTTCGGGAGCCTTAACTTTGCGTTCTCTTTTGGCTGCAACTCGATTCAGCGCGCGCCCACTCTGGGAACGGGGCTCTCCCGTCGCTGGGCGGGGTGGGGGGGGAGCCCTTGTTCCCGCTTCGTGGCAGCTTTCCCCGCTCGACCCAGTTTTCCCCCCTCTGCCTCCTCCTGGGCCGATTCGTCTACACTTGGCCTGGCTCTCGTTCTGCGTTGCCTCTGCCTCTTGCCTGTCGTGCATTTGTGCACATTAATGCTTGATTTTGGAGCTCTGTCCCGGGCCTTTTTAGAAAGAACAGGCAGAGTATTTCGCTCTTGGGACTCTGCGATGACTTGTTTTGCTGCTTTTAGAACGGCAGGAGGAGGCTGGAATGTAGAGTTTGGACGCCTCGCCCAGCGTTATCCTGCTTTGACAGCATTGTTTACTTGCTGGACGAGGCCCCACGAGAGGGGGGCGGGGAGTCCCCAGGCTCAGGCTAGGGGAGAGAATGATAAAATAATACTCAAGAAATAGCCAAGGGAAAGGACGTGGGGGTAGTAGAACGCTGGCAGTCCTGACGATAGGTTTTTGGCGGTGACGCTTTTGGGGATAGATGAGGAGGGCATTGGCAAGAAGGGCACCCGGGTCGGTGGGATTGCTTGGTTCTGGGGAAGGGCAGCGCAGGGAGAGTTTTCCGAGCATTGCTTTTCGAAGTATGACCAGGAACTGTTTACAAGGAAGAACACTGGGGTGGAGGTGAACCACGTTGAATTTGTCACGGGAAAAGGGAGCTCAAAGGTTGTGTGTTCCCTGACTGGGCTGTTCTTCAGGGGGAGGGGACTAGAGAGCAATCTTGTGGGACCTTATTGAAGGGATGGCGCTTCATTTTAACTTCGGAACTTTGCCTTCTTTTGGTGTTGGGGTGGCCTCTCTAGAGGGTTGAACTTTGCTGGCAGCCTCTGCCGGAGGAGATGGCTAGCTTCGTTCCTGTGGGCTGGGCTCACCAGTTGAACTACAACCAATCCGGTGCAGTTAGGCCCGGGTGATCCTTGAATTGGTTGCACAATAGCAAGGCCCACAGAGTAGGAAGACTTTTTTGCCAACAAGGGATAAAAATGAGGAGAGAGCTCTACAGAGGAATCCATCCAGGCCACTTTAGGGGACGGGTGGCTGCCTTGGAAGACTTTAAAATGACCCAAGCAGGAGGAGTTCATCAGAGTTTTTGGATAGCTGGGCTTAGAGAGGCTTTAACTTTGCAGGACAGTGGGATGACTCCGTGAGGAGAACCCTCCCTCGTGACCTGATCTGTTCAAGGCCAGCCCCTGAGCATGCTTCGATCCTGCTTTTTGATCGTGAAAGATTTTGGCAGACCAGTATCTGCTCCAGATAGAGTTGTCCTGAACTTGAGCTGACAGCTTTTAAGAAATGGGTACTGTTTTCCAAGGTGATAGGAAGGGATTTATAACTTCTTGCAAAATTCTTTGTGGTACTGGTCAGTAAATGCCCGCGCTTCTAGCCGTTGAGAACATGTCATGGTTAACAACTGCACTCAGCTATTATTTATGCGGGGAAGGAACTGAACTTTTAGCTATATATTAATCATTATTCCCCTGATGGAAGAGCCACAGAGGGGGTACCTTTCGGGCATATTTCAAACAGCCAAGCTACGTTGCTTTTAAAATAAGGACACAGTCTTTAAACATTGCTTTAAAGATAGAAGCCTGTTTCATAGTCTGGATTAGTTCCTTAAGTGCTTAGAAAGATTCTGCCAGAAATACTGATTCATTTACCCTTCCTTCCAACTTACAGTCACTACTGCTTTCTCAAATATCACTTAACCTGTCTCCCGATAGTTTCTGTACACAGTTTTTTGTTTCAGATTTAAATACTTGTCATCTTAGCTCATCTATTACATTGAACTTGTATTTATTGGTAGAGCAGGTTGTAATCTTTGGATTTTTAGCACGAAGACTTAACATAATGCGTTTATAGGATATAGCACTGTTGGGATTGGATTTAATCACTCTTAACTCAGTGCTGTTTAGATGTGCAGTAGTTACTGATTTAATATTTCCCCCTTTGGAAACTTTCCCCTCCTCTGGTGGTTTGCTCATCTCTCTTGTACGTTCCTCTCTCTCCCACCATATAATTGAGCCGGGAAGATAGTTTTGTTATTTGGTCTCCTCCAGGCACCTGAATTAATGTGATTAGGTATTTTAAATGAGTTTTGTGGGCCTAGTGCAGTGCTTTGCACAAAAGAGCACCACAAACCAAAGTAGGAAAATGCAGTCCTTGCTCTCAGTGATCTTAAAATCTTGAAGGGGGTTGGGGACTGATAAGATTTTTTGTTTTAGAACAAAAAAAACCGTATAGAATCCAGTGCTAACATACATTTCAGGTGTGAAAACATTAAGAAAAATGATAGTAAGCTTGCATGGGAAATCTCTCTTTAGTGGGAAGGAAGGGGATTAGCATGTCCTGTCTTAAACTTCTGGAAACCTTCTGGAGTGTCATACACGTGTTGGCAGTATTCCAAGATAACAGTTGATGTGCTGAATGCCCTAAATGATCAGACTGGGCAGGGACATTCACAACATAGTGAACTTATGATTTCTTCTCCTTTGAGAGTTCTTCATTTTTTGGGGATCAGAGGTTACAGCCTACCCCTTGGGAAGGTTTCTCAAAACTGCCTTCTCATGGTTTAGGAAATGAGAGGTGGGTGGAAACGGACTTGCTCTGACCTTTGGATTTCTCAAACTGCTAGAAGAGTACCTACCTGTTTTCATTGTTAAGGAGGAGGAACATTTTTGTTGAGTAAATTCAAGGCAAAAAAAAAAATGCCCTTGGATTTTATTTTACTTTGTTTTATCTGCCTGTGGAGGAGTGAGGATGCTATTTGGCTCTTCCTTTGAGAAGCTACATCTAGCCTCAATGGAAGGGAAAGTTACTGTAGTTGTCTTCACTTTTATAACACTTTGGTTAGCTGGAAGGCACCTGATGCTCTCGTAAGTTCTGAACTTTCTCCTTCTAGGAGTGTTGTGCTCTGGGAAACGAACAGAAACAGAGAGAACTCTTTAGCCTTCTTTCTGCCTTTCTTTTCCTGCATAACATCCTCATCAGCTGTGGAAAAGTGCTGTTGCCATAACAAGAGTGCCAGCGGGGAACTAACTGTGATGGTCTAAAATCTTGTTCGTGCTGCTGTTTCCTCGGCCAGCTGGAGAGTTGCTGTGATGGGTTCGCTGGGTCAGAATTACCTGAAGGCCATTGCAAGGGTCTGGAAATAAAGAAGGTAGGAAGAAGGGAAAATAATCCTCTTGGAGTGAGCTATAGTAAAATAAGAGTATTTGAGAGGAGTCCAAAGTTTTGACCTGGTTCCCTTCTTGGGAGATGAATAGAGCTCTATGTAGATCTGGGGAAGGAAGGTCAGTTTCTGACTGTTGTGAAATTTCTAACTCCATGACCTTGGGTTGAGTTTATTCTAGGCCAAAACCTTCTGAACCAACAAATGTACTTACTTGGCTCCCTAGCTTCGTTATTAACCAAAGGACTTCCTTATGACATGGGAGAAGTACATGAAAAGCATAATGAAAGGTGTTCAGTCCCTCTGCCTTGTGTTTGAGGAAGATTGCGTTTACTTATCTCAGAGTAACCCAAATTATTAACATGTTTGTCATTCTGTGGGAGATTCAGCTGAGGTCTCATATTCATCAGCTGCCAAAGTATATATTAAAGAAGATGTACTTCAGTTTTTATGTTGGGTGCATTTTTTGCTCACAGAGGATTGAATTCTGGGGCGCCTGGGTGGCTCAGTCAGTTAAGCGTCTGCCTTTGGCTCAGGTCATGATCCCGGGGTCCTGGGATCGAGCCCCACATCGGGCTCCCTGCTCAGTGGGGAGCCTGCTTCTCCCTCTCCCACTCCCCCTGCTTGTGTTCCCTCTCTCGCTGGTCTTTCTCTGTCAAATAAATAAATAAAATCTTAAAAAAAAAAAAAAAGGATTGAATTCTGAGCCTGGGGGAGGCAGCAGTCTACGTCCTCAAAGCATATAGCAATGCACTGTTTGAAAGCCTCTGCCTGTCCTAAGTCAGATGCAGTCTGACCATGGAAGACAGCTCTTACAAATCGATAGTGTAGCATGTATGAAGGCCCTGTGCACAGCTCCTTCAGCTCGCTGAGGCCTGTTGTGGGCAATAGGAAGAGCGAAAAGTGATGACTCTGTAACCTGACACTAGCAGGGTTACTCAGGAAAGACTTACGACTGGAGTCTTAACAACAGTTTTCTAAGAGGGGTCTTGCAAAGGGGTCCCTGGATGGCTCAGTAGGTAGAGCACACGACTCTTAACGTCAGGGTCGTGAGTTCAAGCCCCATGTTGGGTGTGGAACCTACTTTAAAAAAAAAAAGGAGGCGTCTTACGTGGTTTGGCTGCACTGTAGGCTTGATTATGTGTGTGTGTAAAAATGTGCAGATCAGATAGGGTACAGTTAATGTGGAGTAAGCTAGTTCATCTGGTTGGAGAAGAATACAGCCTGAGCAGGAGAATAGTTTGTTGGTGAGCGGCAGAACTTTTTTTTGGCTTCCAGGTCTTTTTATGAACGATGTAATATTTAAACGATTTTTGTTACTCCATTTATAAATAATAGAACAAAAGTCAGTTGAGAATTGGAGTCATTCACCTTACTGAATAGGCAAGGCCTAGACTCTCATTTTCAAATTTGTTCATCGTGGAACTTGGTTTTGCGAAGGCCCCTTAGAACCCGTGTTTTAACAGGCAGCCGCTGTGCATCCTATGGGTGGCTAGTTTTTAAAGGTCCCCTGCACCCGTTCTCGGGCCATTGAAG